AAAAAAATTCCACCACAAAACCCCAAATTTGGGGCATTTTTAGGGATTTTTAAGGGGTTTTTAGGGGTATTTAAGGGTGGGACCCCCCAAAAATTGCGCCCCCCCCACCAAAATTGTGGCCCCCCCCCAAAAAAAAATTTGGGGTCCCCTCCCCTGCATGCGCCTGTTTTGGAGGGTGGGAGGAATTTTGGGGGATTTGGGGGAGATTTGGGGGTTCCAGGGGGATTTTTGGGGTCACCTGGACCCTTTTTTAAGGGAATTCCTCCATTTTGGGAGGGTTTGGGGTCCCCCCCTTTGGAATTTTGGGGGGTCCCCAACCCTTCCCCAAACTGGGGGGATTTTGGGGACCCCCCTCTTTGTAATTTTGGGGGTTTCCCCCAGTTTGAGCCCCTTCCTTTGTTATTTTTGGGGTGATTTTGGGCAATTTTGGAGTCCCCAACCTGAGGGGATTTACGGACTCTTCCATTTTAATTTTTTGGGGGGGGTCCCTTTTCTGTGAGGAGGGGTTTGGGGCTAATTTGGGGGGGGTCCTGCCACCTTTTGGGGGGTTTTGGGGGTTTTGGGGTCCCCTTTTTTTCTTTTTTGGGGGAGCCCTTCCACTTTGGAGGGAATTTCTCCATTTTTGGGGGGTTTGGGGTCCCCTTTTTTTATTTTTTGGGGGAGCCCTTCCACTTTGGGGGGATTTAAAAGGATTTTGGGATTTTGGGGACCCCCTTGACCCCCCTCTCTTAATTTTTCCCGCCAAGATTCGGTACCGGAAGGACAAAGGGGCCCCTCCTGCGCCCCCCCCATTCCCACCTGTGAGGGGGCTGCAGGATTTGGCCAGCGGGGGGGTCCTGGCGGCCGCCATCCACTTCTACTGCCCCCAATCCCTGCGCCTCGAGGGTAAGGAGGGATTTTTGGGGGAATTTTGGGGGATTTGGGGTTTTTTTTTGGGGTTTTTTTGGGGTCCTGTGAAGGGAAGGGGGGCCCTGATGCAGGAATCCGCTAGGAGCCGCTGTGGTGAGGCTGGACTGGACCAATCTGAGGGGGGACATGGGGGGGATTCCATTGGGAAATCAGGTGGTTCCACGGGGAAGGTCTCAATGGGGGAACACTGAGGGTCTTTGAGGGCGTTTTTAGGGGAATTGTGGGTTTTTGGGGGGGGGGGGTTCTGAAGGGTTTTTGGGGTCTGTTTTGGGGTTTGACCACCTCCTCCCCCCCATTCTGGAATTTTCCAGTGATCCAGATCAGCCCAATCTGAGGGCGTCATGGGGGATCCCATGGGGAAAATGGGGGTCCCATGGGGACAGTTCCAATAGAGAAAGACAGGAGGGTCTTTGGGGGGGTTGTGTCTCAATGAGGGGGTCATGGAGGGGGGGTCCGAGGGGTTTTTGGTATCAGTTTTGGGGTGTAACCCCCCCCCCATTCTGGAATTTTCCAGTGATACAGACCAGCCCAACCTGAGGGCACCATGGGGGTGTCCTGAGTTGAAAACAAGAGGAAAACTGGGGGTCCCTAATGGGGAGATCCCAATGGGGGGTACAGGGATGTCACATAGAGGTGGCACCCCATGGAATGGGGGGGTTCTTGGAGGGTTTTTGGGGTACAACCCCCACTTTTTTCCTCTGGAATTTTCCAGAAATCCGCCTTGGGGCGCCGCTGGCGCTTCCAGACCGGCTGCACAACCTGGGGCTCGTGCGCGATTTTGGCGCCCGCCACCTCCGCACGCGCTGCCCGCTAGCCGTGGAGGACCTGCTCTACATGGCGCCGGCCCTCAAGGTAAAAACTGGGAGAAAGTGGGTTATACTGGATTAAATTGGGCAGGGATTGGGTGAAAGTGAGAGAGAGTGGGGGAAATTGAGAGAGACTGGGCGTGAAGGGAGACAATGAGGGCAATTGGAGCAATGGGGCAGCATGGCGGCCCCCCTGAGGGGGAAACTGGGGAAAACTGGGGGAAACTGGGTTAAACTGGGGGAAACTGGGTAAAATGGGAGAAATTTGGTGACCTGGAAGGGAATGGAGGCAATGAGGGCAATGGGGCAACATGGCAGGCACCCTGAGGGGGAAACTGGGGAGAAATTGGGTTAAACTGGGTTAAACTGGGCAGGGATTGGGTGAAAGTGGGAGGGAGGGGGGGAAATTGAGAGAGACTGGGCGTGAAGGGAGACAATGAGGGCAATTGGGGCAATGGGGCAACATGGTGGCCGCCCTGAGGGGGAAACTGGAGAGAAACTGGGGGAAACTGGGGGAAACTGGGATAAACTGGGTAAAATGGGAGAAATTTGGTGACCTGGAAGGGAATGGAAGCAATGAGGGCAGTGGGGCAAAATGGCAGCTACTCTGAGGGGAAAACCAGGAGAAACTGGGGAGGAAACTGGGTTAAACTGAGGAGAAACTGAGATAAACTGGGACATACTGGGAGAAACTAGGAGAAATTTGGTGAACTGGGAGGGAATGGAGGCAATGAGGGCAATGTGGCAACATGGTGGCCAGTCCTGAGGGGGATATTGGGGAGAAACTGGGTTAAACTGGGGATAAACTGGGATAAACTGAGAGGGACTGGGATAAACTTGGAGAAACTGGAATAAACTGGAGAAACTGGGATAAACTGGAGAAACTGGTCAAACTGGATGAACTGGGAGGGACTGGGAGCAAATGGGAGGGACTGGGAGCAGTGAGGGCAATGGAAGAACATGGCGGCCAGTCCTGAGGGGGAAACTGGGTTAAACTGGGTTAAACTGGGGGAAACTGGGAGAAATTTGGTGAACTGGGAGGGAATGGATGCAATGAGGGCAATGGCGCAAAATGGCGGCCGGTTCTGAGGGAGAAGCTGAGAGAAACTGGGTTAAACTGGTATAAACTGGGAAGGACTGGGGGAAACTGGGAGAAACTGGGGGAAACTGAGAGGGAATGGAGGCAATGAGGGCAATGGGGCAACATGGCGGCCAGTCCTGAGGGGGCATTGGGAAAAACTGGGGTAAACTGGGCAGTGACTGGGTGAAACTGGGAGGGACTGGGATAAACGGTGAGAAACTGGGAGGACCTGGGTTAAACTGGGGGAAACTGGGAGAACTTTGGTGAACTGGGAGGGAATGGAGACCATGAGGGCAATGGCGCAAAATGGCGGCCAGTCCTGAGGGGGAATTGGGAAAAACTGGGTTAAACTGGGCAGAGACTGGGTGAAACTGGGAGGGACTGGGATAAACGGTGAGAAACTGGGAGGAACTGGGTTAAACTGGGAGGAATTTGGTGAACTGGGAGGGAATGGAGGCAATGAGGGCAATGGGGCAAAATAGCGGCCAGTCCTGAGGGGGAAACTGGGTTAAACTGGCTTAAACTGGGATGAACTGGGGAGAAACTGGGCAGAGAGTAGGTGAAACTGGGAGGGACTGGGACAAACTGGGACAAAAATGGCGGCCACCCTGAAGGGGGAAACCGGGAGAAACTGGGTTAAACTGGGGAGAAACTGGGTGAAACTGGGAGGGACTGGGAGAAACTGGGAGAGACTGGGATAAACGGTGAGAAACTCAGTTAAACTGGATTAAACTGGGGGAAACTGGGAGAAATTTGTTGAACTGGGAGGGAATGAGGGCAATGGCGCAAAATGGCGGCCAGTCCTGAGGGGGAAACTGGGTTAAACTGGGTTAAATTGGGGATAAACTGGGCAGAGACTGGGTGAAACTGGGAGGGACTGGGATAAACGGTGAGAAACTGGGAGGAACTGGGGGAAACTGGGGGAAACTGGGAGAAATTTGGTGAACTGGGAGAAATTTGGTGAACTGGGAGAAATTTGGTGAACTGGGAGAAATTTGGTGAACTGGGAGGGAATGGATGCAATGAGGGCAATGGCGCAAAATGGCGGCCGGTTCTGAGGGAGAAGCTGAGAGAAACTGGGTTAAACTGGTATAAACTGGGAAGGACTGGGGGAAACTGGGAGAAACTGGGGGAAACTGAGAGGGAATGGAGGCAATGAGGGCAATGGGGAAAAATGGCGGCCACCCTGAAGGGGGAAACCGGGAGAAACTGGGTTAAACTGGGGAGAAACTGGGTGAAACTGGGAGGGACTGGGAGAAACTGGGAGAGACTGGGATAAACGGTGAGAAACTCAGTTAAACTGGATTAAACTGGGGGAAACTGGGAGAAATTTGTTGAACTGGACGGGAATGGAAGCAATGAGGGCAATGGGGCAACATGGCGGCCAGTCCTGAGGGGGCATTGGGAAAAACTGGGTTAAACTGGGCAGTGACTGGGTGAAACTGGGAGGGACTGGGACAAACTGGGAGAAACTGGGTTAAACTGGGGGAAACTGGGAGAAATTTGTTGAACTGGGAGGGAATGAGGGCAATGGCGCAAAATGGCGGCCAGTCCTGAGGGGGAAACCGGCATGAAACTGGGTGAAACTGGGAGGGACTGGGACAAACTGGGACAAACTGGGAGAAACTGGGTTAAACTGGGGGAAACTGGGAGAAATTTGTTGAACTGGGCGGGAATGGAAGCAATGAGGGCAATGGCGCAAAATGGCGGCCAATCCTGAGGGGGAAACTGGGTTAAACTGGGTTAAATTGGGGATAAACTGGGCAGAGACTGGGTGAAACTGGGAGGGACTGGGTTAAATTGGGGGAAACTGGGAGAAATTTGTTGAACTGGGCGGGAATGGAGGCCATGAGGGCAATGGGCCAAAATGGCGGCCAGTCCTGAGGGGGAATTGGGAAAAACTGGGTTAAACTGGGCAGAGACTGGGTGAAACTGGGAGGGACTGGGATAAACTGGGAGAAACTGGGAGAAACTGGGGGAAACTGGGAGAAATTTGGTGAACTGGGAGGGAATGGAGGCCATGAGGGCAATGGGCCAAAATGGCGGCCACCGTGAGGGGAGGAATTGGGATAAACTGGGGGGACTGGGGGGATACTGGGGGATACTGGGAGCCCCCCTGACCCCCTCCGTGCCCCCAGTTGAACGTGGGGGCTTTCCTGGCCGAGCTGTTCCTGTGCTTCGAGGTGCTGAGACCCCCCTTTGTCACCCCCCGGCAGCTGGAGGGGGGCTCAGGTACGGGGGGGGACCCCAAATTTGTGGCTCCAATTTGGGGTGACTTGGGTCAGTTTTGGGTGGGATTTGGGGCGATTCTGATCAAATTTGGGGTGATTTGGGATGACTTGGGTCAGATTTGGGGTGACTTGGGTCGATTTAGATCAAATTTGGGGGGATTTGGGATTATTTGGAGTGATTTGGGTCAGATTTGGGATGATTTGAGGTAATTTAGGT